ATAAATTAGATACATTTAATAAAGTATGATAATAGAAGGGAAAAAACAACGAAAAAAAAAAGAAAATCTAAACGCAGATCGACTTAAAACATATAAACGTTTGATGAAGAGCCAGCAGTTTGTGGGATGTTATGGGCTATTGGGTGGGGGATGGGGAGGAGGGGGGCTGAACTTTACTTGACCAGAATGACCCCCACTGACCTGTAGTAAGCCAGGCGATGTTTGATCTCCTTGCTGCGAGTAGACAGGAACAGTTTGGTCTGCAGCTCTTCCTCGTGCCATTGTCTGTGGTTGTGTAGCTGCCAGGTGTAGGTAGTTTAAGTGAGAGTTTCACGGCACTTGCAACACAATTAGGTCATATTTTACAAGTGTTAAAGAGCCGAAGATAAGAGGCGTTTCTAAAGTGTAACATCATAGTTTTAAAAATAGTTTTACGGCACTTGCAACTCAATTAGGTCATACAATACATGTATTTTAAAGAGCTGAAGATAAGAGGTGTTACTAAAGTGTAACATCTTAGTTTTGAAAAGAGTTACACGGAACTCCCAACACAGATAGGTCATAAATACATGTACTAAAGAGCCAAAGATAGGGGTTATGGGTTAGGGGTTAAAGTATGCAGTTGCAGTGATGCGAATTTAATTACATATACTTTAACATTAAACATGAGCACAGTTGTTAATTTTATGGGTTTGTACATTTTCTTACGCCATGCCAAATCCCACGAGCTTAATTCCAGTAGACTATACTTTGATGTGATCATTGGCACTTGTTAATTCCAGTAGACTATACTTTGCAATATGATCATTGGCACTTGTTGATAAAAGACAATCTTCCCAATACTGTGTAAAGCTTTGGTTATCTTTTCACTGACTGGTCTTATTTCTGCAAGTCTAGATGTTCTTATTTCTAACTCTAAAGGGAGGTAATTAGTTTTTCTTCATCTGTTCCACCAAGTTCGAGTGACTGAGAGAAAACTTATTCTTTTAAATGATTTGTTTTGTAAACACAAAGGTCTGAACGAGATGAGCTCACTGTCGCTAACGTTGAGGGGTCGACAGTGTCGGCGGCTGACAGGGACAACGACGTGATCAAACCACTTACTGCAAAGACAAAAGTACCGGTAGCCTTCAGTGAATTCTGTTGTCTAATGAACTGGGACTTGTCAAACGCAGGAATGTGCTTTTACTCTCTGACCTGCTCCATAACTCAATTCTCGGGACTTGCAGTGAAATGGTTAACAAACAAACACACAAACACACACACACACACACA